TCTTTTATTCTTCTGAGGCTCTTTATAGCTCCTGGCACGTTGGCTTCCCACTCTGGGATGGCTTGAGAAGCAACTTGTCATTTTTCTTCATTTGGGCAGTAGTGTCCCTCAGCTAAGGTCGTCTTTGGTTCTGTTATTGCAGAGAGAACTACTTTGTTACATGGATTTGTCACTTCTGATGAGCTGCAGTTGTGTCTTCAGCCTGAAATGTCATTCCTCAGCTCTTGAGCTTGGAACATGCCTACTTCAGGAGGCATATGCAATGTTGCCTCTTCCCTGTGGCTCCCCCTTCTTCCCTTTCTTACCTCGGGTGGAGTTGCTTTCTCATTTGTGCCCCTAACACTTCATACATCATACTGAACTATAAATGCTTCCTCTGTGAGGCTGTACTCACCTCATGGGGCACTCTGGCTCATTCATTTCTTGTCTGTATCCACAGCACACGGTAAAATGGAAAGTACATATTGGGTTTATGATCAATGTTTCTTTCTTTTCCTCTATGTATTTTATTGTACTTCAGGTTCTGGGTACATGTACAGAACACGTAGGATTGTTGCATCGGTACATACATGGCAATGTGGTTTGCTGCCTCCATCCCCCTGTCACCTATATCTGGCATTTCTCCCCATGTTATTCTTCCCCAACCTCCCTAACCCCCTCTGTCCCTTCCCTATTCCCCCCCAACAGACCCTGCTGTGTGAGGCTCCCCTCACTGTGTCCATGTGTTCTTCTTGTTCAGCACCCACCTATGAGTGTGAACATGTGGTGTTTGATTTTTTTGTTCTTGTGTTGGTTTGCTAAGAATGATGGTTTCCAGGGTCATCCATGTCCCTACAAAGGACACAAACTCATCATTTTTTATGGCTGCATAGTATTCCATGGTGTGTATGTGCCATATTTTCCTTGTCCAGTCTATCATTGATGGGTATTTGGGTTGGTTCCAGGTATTTGCTATTGTAAACAGTGCCACAATGAACATATGTGTGCATGTGTGTCAATATTTCTTATCCTGCAATGAGGTTCCATGTCTCTGGACGTGTGTTCTATCCATCTAAAATCCTTACATTTTATAATATTTATTATATGTACAGAAAAGCAGCTGTTGACCCAGGAGCCATGATGTTTGATTACTTATCATTGTTCTGCAACTAACTGGGCTTCAATTTTATCATCTGTAAAATCAGAGAAGTAAATTGAATTTCTTCTATTTTCATTCATGAATAATTCAAGATATATTAGCCAAGTATCTGTTTTTCCCTAAACACTGGACTAGATAACTTCTTCAGCATAAAACATCACACAGTTTAGTTAAAATACTAAAGAAGTTTGTACTTGTGTAGAAATAGAGTTACTATAACAATGCTGTCTTTATTAGCTGTGCTACTAAAAGCACAAGTTGACTCAGTTTCAAATATAACCGGAATCAAGATAACAATATTTAGTTTCTAAATCCCATGTATCCTTCAAACCATACAAACTGTGTCAACTCATCCTAAAAAATCAGTTGCTTCAGTGATCACAAGTTAAGATTTCTGCAATCCATGGTGACATTTGTTTTACTTCTTAAATCAGTATGGATACTGATTTAATGTGTGTTTTATACATTTAAGCAGAAGTAAAAAGTCTTTGAACTAATGGAAATCTATGCATTTGTTCAACAGATATTTATTAAGCATGTAATACCTCCCTAACATTGTGATATTTGCCCAAGATACAAAAGTCAAATTGGGTCTCTGTCATTGAGGTGTTTATACATTTTCAAAGGAAATACGAATGTAAATATACCAATATTGGCAGGACTCTGATGGAAGAATGTTTAAGTACAGTAATAGCCGACCAGAAGAAATGTGCTCTTCTTTGGGACTGGGTAAGGACAGGTTGTTTGTCAGAAAAAAAAAAAATCATTAAGGATTTTCCTGAGTTCCAGTCTTAGTTTTACACATCAGTAGGTGGCACTTGAGGTGAGTCTCAAAAACACCTGTGTAGGTCCCCAGAAAGACGAATCTGGGAGGAGGGAGATCATCCCAAGAAAAGAAATGGAAAGAACATTACCAGAGGAATATGAAATAATACATTGTATCTACACAACTACAAATGCACCATCATGGCTAAAAGGAAAGAGACAACCTTAGTCTCGGGGAGACCAGTGGCTGCAGAGTAGACAGGGGCAGGAGGAGTACATAGTTTCTTGGCGAAGATGCAAAAATTAGCAACTTTACCCCAAACATAGAGGGAAATCTGGGAGGGTCTTATGCAGTAGAGCAAGATGAGCACATTTCAGAAACCATGGACAACTTTATATGTGATCAGAATTCCTTGCTAAATCATGAAATCTGAATTTTAAACTCAGAAATGCTTGTGTTCTCTTCCATAGGCATTTTTGCCTAGTTTGTTATTTTTTCAGTGAATGGAATTACAAACTCAAATATGATTATACTATAAGAATGAAAATAGGGATGTGGTCCCTCATCAAAATCTACTTTCTGCATCTAGGATTGGACCCATATTAAATTCCTTAATTGTAATTTTTTATTTTGAGATGGTGTCTCATGGTGTTGCCCAGGCTGCTGGAGTGCAGTGGCACCACCTTGGCTCACGGCAACCTCTGCCTCCTAAGTTCAAGCAATTCTTCTGCCTCAGCCTCCAAAATAGCTGAGATTACAGGTGCCCATCATAATGCCCAGCTACATTTTTTTAAATATTTTTAGTATAGATGGGGTTTCACTATGTTGGCCATACTGGTCTCAAACTCCTAACCTCAAGTGACCTACCCGCCTGGGCCTCCCACAGTGCTGGAATTACAGGCGTTGAGCCACAGAGCCTGGCCATCTATTTTTTCCCCCTAGAAAAAAGTGATCCAGTGGTCAGAGATCACCTCTCAGTGGGGGTCCAAGCACATCCTTGGGTTTTTGCTCTTCAGGCTTCCATTTATGATCTTGAAATGAAGAAGAAAATAAAGAATCAAACCATGAAGATTGAGATGGTTTTAGTAAGAAAAATCAAAGTAGATTCACCACATTGGTTTCAAGTGAAAATGCATTGATTGCTTATTCCTGAAAAGCAAAACCACAACCCTCAATCAAACGTCTATAGTTATTTGATTAGCTGTGACTCAGGGGTTATCGATATATCAATAGTAAATAGAAAACATCTTAACTGAGAGTCATTCAGAACAAATACTGTCAACTCTATTGATCATTTGTTTATGAGAAGTTGTAGCAGGCAAACAGTTGGAAAACTTTTGAATCATTCTTCCTGAGAAAAGACAAAGAAAGAAAATGTCATCACTGGGACAACGCAATAACTTCCTAACTGGTTTAGTATCTGAAATAGTTCCCTATTCTAATCTATCTTTGCCATATTACCTACAGAGCTCGTCAATTAGAAGTTACACAAAAGCCAGGCATGGTGGCTCACACCTATAATCCCAGCACTTTGGTAGGCCAAGGCAGGTGGATTGCTTGAGCCCAGGAGTTCCAGACCAGCGTGGGCTACATAGAAAGACCCTGTCTCTACAAAAAGTACAAAAATTAGACAGATGTGGTGGTGCACACCTGTAGTCCCAGCTACACAGGAGACTGAGGTGGGAGGATTAGTTGAGCACAGGAGGTGGAGGCTGCAGTGAGACACTGCACTCCAGCCTGAGCGACACAGCAAGACTCTGTCTCAAAAAAAAAAAAAAAAAAGAGAAAAAGAAAGAAAATGAAGTTACACAAATCTCAGTTTTAATCTTGGCTCTGAAAGTTTCTCATGGAATGAGGCTCTGTTTTGTCATCTGTAAAACCGAAATAACAATGCCTATTTTAGGAGAGAGGGGATGTGGTAAGGATTTAAAGGAAACCCTTCGGTATGGGGTCTTGTGCTATGTAGGTCTGCAACACAGTTTGGGTAAAGCAATGGCACACTGTGGTTAATGTTTAACTTTTCAACTAAGCTTGTTATTTATGGTTCTAAGCTAATTGCCCACAATAAGATAGATCCAGGCACAAAAGGAATTTTGTTTCTAATAGCTGAATTGTAATTAAGCCTCTACTTGTTGAACATGGAACACTATGAATATAAATCTTCTCGGAACATCCTGAAGCTCAAATGTTTAAGATTTACACATCATCGCTTGGGGACAACTTGATGGCTTCCAAAGAGGAAAGTAGAAGAAAGCACTCCTAACAAAAGTGATCACCTTGGTAGCTGTCGGGGTAAACTGGCTTTGGTTTTGATGGACTGCAGTGAATATCCCTTGCCCTTTACCAAACAGTATGTCATTGTTATTAAAAAACCAACTGGATAAAATAAATGGGGTGATATTCCACTTGAAACTGGGAAAATCAGCAAAAACAAGATTTTGAAAATGAATTACCAATAATTCTAATTCTTTTCACTAGGTCTAAACCCAATTAAGTGGTGAACCTGGTAAATCATGAGCTAGTGCAACAGCTCTGAGTACCAGGACAGTCATCCTCCAGCAGATACCAGAGAGCAGTAAGGATTAGAGTATCTGGATCCTTCAGTATCTTCATTTAAGTTCTGTTATTAACACCAACAGGGAGCAGAAGCAGAAACACATCATATGAAAGCAGGGTTTCTCAAACATTTTGGCCCCCAAACCCCCTTACTCTCTGAAAAACCACTGTGACCAAAGGGCTTTTTGTTTATTGGGATGCTGCCTAGTATAATATGTATTACATTAGAAATTGAAAGTGAGTAATTTAAAAAAATTATTAATACACTTACAGCAGAAAGAATAAATATTTACATGTAAAACTAAGTAACTTTTTTTAAATGAAAAACGACTACATTTTTTAAAAAATGAGAGAGAGAAGATGGCATTGTTTTCCACTTTAATATCTGGTTTTAAAGAAGAGACAGAGTCTTGCTCTGTCACCAGGTGAGAGGACAGCAGCACGATCTTGGCTCACTGCAACCGCCGCCTCCCAGGTTCAAGCAATTCTCCTGCCTCAGCCTCCCGAGTAGCTGGGAGTACAGGTGCACGCCACCACATCTAGCTAATTTTTCTATTTTTAGTAGAGATGGGTTTTCACCATGTTGGCCAGGATGGTCTTGATCTCTTGACTTTGTAATCCTCCTGCCCCAGCCTCCCAAAGTGCTGGGATTACAGGCGGGAGCCTCTGCACCCGGCCAAAAGGTAGTATCTTTAAAGTTTAGTTGCAATGTGGAGTGTGAAATAGTATCAGGGGGGGTTTTGTACTCAGTTACATTAAAAATCTATCAAATGGTTTTAGCCCTGCATGATTTTAGAACATTCTGCATCAGTTATTTGAAGAGTAATAGTTCACTAAGTCATATGTATCTTCTAGAGTGTGGATAGACTTCATTATATTAAACAAACACCTCTGTTACTCTTAGCACCTATCACACCAAAAAAGTCTTGAAATAGCTGGAAACCATGCCTATGATGGTGGAAACAAGCTTTTCAAAATGCTCATTTTTGCTTGAATGCTTATATTTCATCACGGACAACAAATGTTACCAGTTGTTTTCCTTGAAGTGACAGGTTAACTTTGTTCATTTTAGAAAAATTGCCGGCAAAAACCTCAACTATGAATAATCACAATTTGTTCGCTTTTCTTTCACGTAAAAATGATGTTTATATTTAAAAAGTGATTAGTTAAGCTGCCAACTCGGAGAATTGTACAATAGTATTTTCCCCTCTTTAAGTAGTCAGAGTATTTTATAAGTGCCTCTCATTTGATCACATAGATTATTAAAAAACACCTAAGCCAAATCCCTATTTAATAAAATTAATGATTTTTATTACTTCCTTAAAGATCTCTTAAATGAAATTGGCTTTATTTAATGCCACTGACTTGATTCAGACTTAAGGTGCCAGTATTGTTTTTGTGCCATCAGTACAGATGTTAACACAGAGGGGAAAGGCAAAGGCCTCATTTTGATTTCTCAGACAACTCAAAGTGGCTTAGGCACCATGGACCCCAATTTGAGAACTGCTGTTTTAATTTGCAAAGCCATTTCACAAAACCACATTATTTGTTCTTTATATTTGGCCATTTTATAAAAGAGGATGGAGCACTAAGGAGTATTTCAGCACTTAGTGTATGTTAGGCACTTAAAGTGTTTGTGCTCTGAATGGAATAAACTAGACATACCCAAAATCCAGGTCCCCTGATGTATGGTCCTGTGTTCCTTCTAGTAAAGATTTAATTTGTTCTAGATTTGTGTGAACATAGGGAACCAGCATCAGTGTGAAGGAGGAGCATCTAATCCTATAATCTCTGCACTCTGACACAACTCAACCAATTTGTATGGCAGTAAGTGATATTAGTTACCTTGACTTGTTATACTACAAAACTTTGTGGGGGTGATTTCAGTTCACTGGGATTCAATCTGTGTACACTGTGTTCTCAGGAATAACCATGTCTTTACCGGAAGCAGGCCAGTCACCTTCCTATGTGAACTCATGCAGGTCTCCCGAGAAAGGAGCTCTTTTAACTTCAAGTGAAAAAATGTAACTCATCAAAGAAAACAGGAGGGGGGCTGGGCGCGGTGGTTCACGCCTGTAATCCCAGCACTTTGGGAGGCCAAGGCAGGTGGATCATGAGGTCAAGTAATCGAGACCATCCTGACCAATATGGTGAAACCCCATCTCTACTAAAAAATACAAAAATTAGCTGGGCGTGGTAGCGCGCACCTGTAGTCCCAGCTACTTGGGAGGCTGAGGCAGGAGAATCGCTTGAACTGGGGAGGTGGAGGTTGCAGTGAGCTGAGATTGCACCACTGCACTCCAGCCTAGCGCCTGGCAACAGCAAGACTATCAAAAAAAAAAAAAAAAAAAGAAAAGAAAAAAAAAAGAAAGCAGGAGGGAACAACCAACCAGGAGGCGGAATGCCCTTATTCCCAGGAGATGGCTGTTCACATAAAAATGATGCTTGCCAAGCCTTTAGCTGCTTCTGGAGTCCAAGGGCCACAAAATAAATGACCTACTGCTAGTTCAGCCCAATCAGGACTGGAGAAAATTCAGACTGTGGTAGGGCGGATTAGCGTGTCCTTCTTCTGTGAACACATGGAAAACTGAAGGTTCCAGGGAGGTGCTTTTGGCACCTTGAAGGAAAGGCAAATGAACTCGGGGAAAAGCTGATAGTGACTAACAATTCCTACAAAAGACTATTTTTAGAAGCAGATCTGGTGAAACCATACTGGTCAGTCAAGAGAAGGACTGGCCCAATAACCTAATTACCACTCGGTGGGAAAACTGACACCAGCCCTGGAAAATTGCGTCAATATTATGACCTTTAATGGGTACCATTTTAAAAAATACCCATGGCTATCCTAAAAATTTTCCCTTTCTTTATGAGTAAGCACATACTAAGAACCAGTTTCATTTTGGGAAAAAAAAAAAAAAAGATAATAAAGTTCTTCAAATTTCAGGAGAATCCCACCAAAAGTTCTGGTCTTAAAGGTTAATTAAGTAATTAACTAAATGAGTGATTGTGCTCCTCCTCCTGACCCATAGCATGGGCTCAGATGCCGATGAACTTCTCATTAGTTAATTTAGTACCAGGTCAGTGAATCCATCCATATTTTCAGGTCAGAGCTTTCTTAGAAGTGCTTTTTTTTTTTTTTCTTTTTGGTATGCTGCTGCATCTAAATGCTCTAACAATTGGCGCTGCTCTTGACAGATGCCTTTAAATTTCTTTTTAGCTGTGAAAACATGCTACTGAAAAGAGGGAAAAATTGCCAAATGGACTTGCCTCAATTTTAGTGTGTATCTGTGCTCATAGTGCCGGAGCCACAAAGGGAAATTCATCTAATTAAAGGAGATGTAAATCTGGAAAGCACATGGATTGGCAATGAAAATTAATTAATCCGTTTGTTCATTCACTCAACAGTTCTATAATAAATGGCTACTACATCTTACCAACTGTGAGAATAAACTAACATACAAAAACGAGAGACGGCTTCAGCTCTCCAGGAATTTGGGGGCTACAGTCACTCAATAAATGCTTGTTAATTTGATTTGACTAATTCGCTATATCCCATGGATGAAGTCTTTGGTAGGAAAGTACAGATGTCAGAACCAGTATTCTAAGAAGAGTTTTGATTACTAGTATAAGGGCCTAAACCCAATCGCTTAGCTGCAAACAGAGTAATGGAATTATGAAATGTTGCTGAGAAGTATATTATTCAACTGAAATTTCAACTTGGGATCTTCCAACAGTTTGCTTAGGTTCCCTTCATCTTTTGTTCAAAGCCCTTTCGGAAACACAGCTTTCAAGACCTAAGCCTTCCTTCACACAGAGAATGTATAACATTCTTGCCTCCCTCTCTCCGATGGCTGATTAGAAGATACTAGAGCTTCCTAGACATCCTTACACTCCCTTCCAGCTGCTTGTGTAAGGCTGGATCTTACAGCTGTGCATATTGTTTTCCGTTTCAATTCCACACCATCATTCTGATATATTTTTCTTCCACTGACTATCTGCTTCTCCCACCAGCCCCAGAATCCCTTTTGTTGAAGATATGTTTGTCTGGACATGAAGGCAATGTGCATGATTTCAGAGTATATAGTTTGAAGTATAAAGATTCTTTCAGAGTTTTTATCACAGTTCTTATTGTTGTGGTCTGTTTTCACAAGCCAATGTGGCCTTCTAATTCCTCAGCTATCTGCCTGCAATTGCAACAAACTTTGCTATAGGTCTTTGTGAATTGCAGAGGCCCAGCTAGAGATTCAGTTTATACTCCTGTCTGCTTCCTAACAGCACTTCTGAAAATTTAGCAACACAGCAGATTTTTTTCTATGAAATTAAGTACCTCTAGAGCTGACTTTTAAATATTTAATGTCTAAATTTGAAAAGCGTTTTAATTGTACCACAGCTGTTTTATTTTCCTTTACCATTTAAAATGACTCAGATGTTCTCGATTTTGCCTAGTTGTCCTTCCTGATCAAAGTGAAGAGAAGCTATTTCTTAAATCATATTTTTGGGGACTAAGGAAGAGAGGGGAGACCTCTTGTAGGTTACCCAAATTCTCATGATGGTGGCTCAGAGGTTACTGAAACTCAGTTCCCCCATTGCCCCTTTTCCTTATAGAAAAGTGAAAATAGTTTCATTGTTCATGAAAACTATGGGTGATAGTTCTGTTGCCTTTGAGGGAGGCTCACTTGGGCCTGAGACCATAACATGACAAGGCATCCTCAGGCTCTATCTATACAAGTCAAGACTAGTATAGCTTGGTCAGAAACACTTTTCTCTTTATATATTACTTGTTCATTGTTACCCCAGATAATAGTTTAATAGTTTATTAAAGTAAAAGATAAGAGATAAAGATAAGAGATCTTTCCTTCTCCTCACGCTCATCAAAGTTATGGTTTCAGGTTTCTTTTAAAGATCAAGAACATGTAGCGCCAAAAACAATTCTCAGTAGTCCATGAGATTGAAAAGAAAAAAAAAAATCTTACTCTGTAGACCTGACATTCCAGCAAAAGGAGGTTAGCAATAAATATGTAATCAAGTAAATATTAAAATAATTTCAGATGACAATGTTTAGGAGAAAATAAAGCAAGATAATGGAGTTGAAAGTAAGTAACAAGGTATTTTGATCAGAGTTAGTGAAAAATGTTAGCTAGAAAGAGAAGGTGAAGAAGTTTCCTTTGAGCAGTAACATTTGAGCTGGGAGAGCTTTAGATGATGATGAGTGGGTACTAGATGCAGAAAATTTGAAGCGAGCTTTCTAGGAAAAAGGATGGTGAACACAAAGTCTTGAAGCTGGAAGATGAGTGGCAAGAAAGATGAAATGGCTGAAGAATAGTGAAGAGTGGAAAGCTTTTGGGAAAGAGGTGGAAGAATGCAGACTTTCTAGTTCGTAGAATGGATTTGGGATTTTTTGGTAATTGCAATGGAAAACCATTGGTTCTTGAAGTACATATGAAATCCTGTGAAATTTCTTTCTATACAGTCTTCAATTTCTAATTAACTGAATATCAGAAATGACTCCAGTTCAGTAATAGATCTGCTAGGTATGCTGTTTCTTCTTGGTTCTCAGTGTCTAGCTGAGGTTCCTGGAAGCCACTGGGCAACTCTAGGATCCCAATCTGCAATCCACAGACTCCATTTTAAATTTTACATAAGCAACTCTAGGATCCCAATCTGCAATCCACAGACTCCATTT